AAAAAGAAAAGAAAAGAAAGGGAGAAAACGGATTTTCTTGCGATAACTAGCTGGATCCAGAAGTAGTCCGGACTTAGGTCAGAGTAGCATTCTGACGGTCAAATCAGTGATTTACTTAAAAGAGTCTCTTATAAGTACTAGGGTTGTGTTTTCTTGCCCCATGGCCTGTCTAATTATCCTAGTAAAATATCTCCATATACCTTGTCGTTTCAAGTGAATAGTGAAATAGTCGCACATGCCAAAAGCAACCAATGTTCTCTGCACCTGTCAGTTGATTGGACGTGCATCAAATAATGTCACATGGATGAGGCGGCTAAATCTCTCGATAGCTTGTGGTTCGATCTTCCTCTCGCTAGACTGTGATTGATCCTTCTCTCGCTACGAAAGTTATCCAGTGTTTGTCTCGCATGTGGACTTTAGTCGCAAACACCTAGTCTCGTGGGATATTAAAGGCGAACGCTTCATGTGGGCTTCGTCTCTCGTGGGCTGGGCTGGATCTGCTTGATGGGCTAGGATAGTTGAATTGATCGGCATCAATACTAGATTTTTATCGACCTAATTTTAATTTTCAAAAAAATAGAAAAAAAAAAACTGAAAATCACTTTCATAAAATCAATACTATTATTTAGGTGGTGTTTGCAAATGCTTTTTGAAAGTGATTATGCGGTTTTTTTTGTTCATAATCTGTTTTTAGGTGTTTGCAAAATCAACTTTTGCTTTTGCTTCTCTTAAAATAATCTGTTTTAAGCTATTTTTTTAAAAGCACCCCTAACCCTGCTTTTTCAATTTTAGTTCATTTTCCGAAATATTTGCAAACACCTCCAACTTTTAGAAATAATCACTTAAAACTAACTTAAATCACAATCACTAACTTCTACTTTTAAATAATCATTTGCAAACACCACCTTAGTTTATATTAAAAAGTTTATAAGAAAATGAAAATTCCTTATTTAATTTAATTTTATTATGGAACAAGTTTTTTTTATTCAAAATTTCAAAATTCATTTGGAACAAAAATTAGTTTCATTTACGAAAGTATAATTCACATAACTGTGCCGCCAATATTATCATTTCTTCAATGGTGGATGGTGATCTGGGGCTTGCTTGGGAATCAGGTCCAGTTTTCTATTTGGGGTTTGTTTTCTCAGTTTTCAATTTTTCTAGGGTTTCATTTTTTTGCATGTCTGTTGAATCCGAATCTAAATTGTTCTTTTGGAGTTCAATTTCGGATCGTAGTTTTCTATCCCATGGATTTTGAAGCATAAATTATAAAACTATCCTGCAGTTATAATCAACATTTGCCACCGCCACGAACTAAAATTCTGTCCGATCTGCTGCTGCTGCTGCTGCAGCACCGTCACCAGTTCGCGGTGGCAGTCAGTATCTGCAGAACCAGTGGCAAAAGCAGGGGTTTGAGGCATGGATTCTGTGTAGACGGAGGAGGAAATTCAAACAGCAGCAATTTAGGGGTTCTGAAAATAAAAAAAAAAATGCCGGAGAAGACTGAATGTTGGCTTCTGGTTCACATATGGCGTGCTGGAGTACTCGTTAATCTAGACTCACTCGGTGGTGAGTCATTTGTTAATTCTGCTGTTAGCTACAATACCTTCTGCCGAAAAATTATTGGCAATTTTTACTCTGTCTATATTATCAGTTACTTTTTTCTGTAGTTGTTTTAGTTCCAATGTTGAATATTATGCGTAAACGAACATTAATCGATCCAATTTTAATGAATATATTTATTTCCGCATTGAATTTTCAAGACAGCCTTATTAGATTTCAATAATCTAGTGTCTAGGTTATGCGTAGACGTTGCAGTCATCACGGATTTAATGTGTGTAAACATCATATATGTTACTTTAATTTGCGTCTTGGGTACGTATGATGGTATTAATTCTGTTGCTCTTTACATTTTCTATAGTGGCTCGGCTGATTCAGCATTTGGATTGTGCCGACACATGGAGGAGCAATGACGGTAATTATTGCTTTTTCATTAATGTACATTTGAGCCCGAGTTCTACAAATTGAGCGTCTCGAGACCAAATCCAAGTTCAATTGTGAAAACCCCCCTACCCTAATTCAGCGCCGCCGCCTCAATTCCTCTCGGGAATTTTGACCTAATATCCGTCCACATTCAAGCCTTCTTCTGTGTCAATAAGGTATGTTTATTCGATTTGATCTGGTGATTTTTAGGTTGGCCAAAATCTACATCACCATATCAAAATTCACTAATTAAAAGTTTCTTAGATTGTTAATCTTTGCAGGTCTTACGATGTCTGATAAGGGTTCAAGCTCCAAGTCTTCGTCAAAGCTGAGAAATAAGACGAAGATGTCTGATTTCTTGTGTGATTTTAGGTATGGGATTAACTTTTCAGATTTCTCGTTGATATAACCGATATGCACTAGATTCTTTTCTTTTCTTGATTCTGTTGCATTTAAAATAATATATGCCTTGGTTGTCAATTTAATTGGTTTGAAGTGTTATTGTATCTGATTTCCAAGAAGGGTCAGTCCCTTGATTGCTTCTGATTCAATGTTTTCCTCCTAACACTTTAAATGCAACTTTTACTAATGTCGTTAGATATCAAGATCTCTCCATTTATATTTACTATTTATGAAACAAAACACTGGAATTAGTTATAGTAAATTCTGCTGCTCCTATATTTTTGTAAGCAGAATGTGAGCTGTAGGTATTTTGCTCTTTTCAGGTTCCGAAATGAACTGCCAGATCCATCTGCAAAGATGAAGCTTCTGCCTATAAAAAGAGACCCCGATCGGTATGAAGATCTGTTGTATTGTACTTATGTATCTATTTTGTTACACTATTGGCATATAGTAGTTTTTATTTTTGAACTATAGTGATGGCTGGATGATCCCACAGCTATTAGCACCTTGCCATTGCATCCATTTCAGTGCTAACATTGACATTGATATTTCTTTCTATCTGTTTAAGTTTTCCCCCCTTTTTGCCCGGTTACTTGTCCACATTTGCTGTTGAGCACGGGGCCTAAAAAAAGTACAAGAAACCACAAATAACCACCAAAGTTAATGACAAGGGTTTTCTTGAGCTGTTTATGTTTGAACTTTTTCATTTGTGATTCATCGAGCTGGAAAAAATATTGCGTTTTAGAGTAGTCTATTTCATTTCAAAATGGAAATTTCTGTTATTAAGATGGAGGCAGTATTTGTTTCGCCGTTATAAACCTATTCTGTTTTCATGAAACTTTAGCTAGCTTTCAGTTCGTCAGCCAGCTGATAAATAATTGCCTTGCAAATTTAAGTCATAGTAAGTAGAGGTAGAGCCATAGAGGTGAAACAACTTGTCAGAGCAAGTGTTATGTGCTTATGTTGGTTTATGATACATGCATGTTCCTGTGGAGGTATTTCCATGTATGAATATCCATTTAAACTTTAATGTTTGCGCTCCTGTATATTTTGAATTATTTTTTTTTTGCGACATCTAATAACAGTGATCTAGGCACTTATATAACATGATGATATAAAACTACACTTTTCTGATGATTGATGCAATTATTCTACTGGTAATCATAAACTTGATACCTCTGTTTATCGAGAGTTGTACTTTCAGCTTCCTCGACCCCCTTGATATAAAATAACTTAATTGAGCAAGCTTACTTAAAAGTGAAAGAGGCAGATGGCCAGACTACTGATCGTTGTATTTCCTCGTCTTACTTCATTTCTGAAAAACAGTCTACCAAAAGTTTAAAAAATATATAATAACAAAATAGGAGCAAGGCCATTGGTGTGAACGCAATGCCCCAATTTTTGGGTGTGGTGATGGACAGCCTTTTGTTTTCCCGCTCTCTTTTTTCGAATTTTTATTTAGGGATCTTTCTTTGAGCCTGCAGATACTGCAAATATCGAGTTACATCATTGGAGAAAAATTGGAAGCCACAGCTATTTCCTGGAGCAGACCTTGGTTTACCGCTGGACTTTCTTGATACGAGCGTATACAGGTTAGCTTATTGTGCCCCTCACCATATTTTCTCCTTACTTATAATTTTTTTTTTGGCTGATTATTATATCATTCTCCTTGTTGACCAGTCGACGCAGGGGTAAAGGCATACCCCTTGATCCAGAGGATGAGGCGTTGTTACGTGATGATGATATTGATCCAATAGCACCAGTCAAGAAGGATGCGAAGAAGAAAGAAAGGCTTAGTGGTTTACCGCTGGACTTTCTTGATAGGAGCGTATACAGGTAAGCTTATTGACCCCTCACCATAATTTTTCCTTATTTGTAATTGTTTTTTTAAATTTTAATTTTTTGCTGATTATTATATTCTCTTTGTTGACCAGTTGGTGCAGGGGTAAAGACATACCCCTTGATCCAGAAGTTGAGGCATTGTTGCCTGATGATGATACTGATCCAATAACACCAGTCAAAAAAGATGCTGTGAAGAAGAAAGAAAGGCCCAGTGGTTTACCGCCGGACTTTCTCGATATTAACGTATACAGGTTAGCTTATTGAGACCCTCACCATAATTTTTCCTTATTTTTAATTGTTTTTTTTGGTGATTATTATATCATTCTCCTTGTTGACAGTCGCCGCAAGGGTAAAGCCGTACCCTTTGATCCAGAGAATGAGGCGTTGTTGCGTGATGATGATATTGATCCAATAACACCAGTCAAGAAAGATGCTTCGAAGAAGAAGAAAGAAAGGCCCAGTGGTTTACCCCTGAACTTTCTTGATATGGGTGTATACAGGTAAGCTTATTGAGCCCCTCGTCGTAATTTTTCCTAACTTTTTTTTTTGGGTGTTATTATATATTTCTCCTTGTTGACCAGTCGGCGCAGGGGTAAAGGCGAACCCCTTCATCCAGAAGATGAGGCGTTGGTGCATGATGATGATATTGATCCAATAATACCAGTAAAGAAAGATGCTTTGAAGAACAAAGAAAGGCCCAGTGGGAAAGGTGTTTCTTTGCTGTCTCAGTATATTCCTCCCCTTAGTTCGAGTTCAACTAAGCAGGTATTGTATAGTTATTTTTTATGATTGTTATTGAATTTTACTGCATTAAATAAAGAAGGTGCTGTTTTAGCTTTTCCTTAATAAATAATTACTGCAACCTCTGCTGAGAACTGAACTAGATCTGATGTTCATGTGACCTACAGTATCTGACTAAAAAGCAAGCCAAAGAACAGCGAGACGCTCGACGTCATGGCCTTTTGTTGCCGCCCAGTAGTAGGTTAGTTATATCTTACTTTCATACTGTTTTTATTTGGAGAATTTATGGCCGAGTCTTTATAACTGTTTTTGTAAATAGTATTTTTTCCCTTTTTTTTTCAGGGAAAGTAAAATTCTGGATATTATGGCTTCATTTGAGGCTATCAAGTCCCAACCTGTTCATAAAGGCGATTGTCAAGTAAAGCCAAAAAGAGTTATACCGCTCTTTCCTAAATTTGACCGGTATAGTCTCACTATTGACAATCACTAAGCGCCTGCGAGCTATTTACTTCTTTATCAACTTGTACTATTGTGTAAAATAATCGTTATTCATGTCGTTAGGTTTTGTTATCTGAATTAGATATCTGTTGTTTTTTTTGTGGCCTGTTTGAAATTAGCTTTTTTCCACAACTTACATATATTGATTGTAACACATGCTTCCTAATAAAGTGACGCTTTAGTTCTTAGTGAGATTCTTACAGGGTGTTGATTTGCATAACTTCCCAAAGCTGAGTTTTATCTGATTATGACTTTATATTTTCAGGAGTGATGATGATCAATTTCTAAGTGCAAAATGTGTTGACGCTGCTACAGCTGATTCCGAAATCTACAAAGAAGAATCTAGAGTAAGTTATAATCAGATATCGAACATGTACTATGCTTCCAGAAAGTTAAACTAACCCTGTAAAGCATATTTGCAAAAGGATTAAATTGGGCATTCTTTGTAATCAAGAAATGCACAAACCACAATAGTATGATTGATAATAAAATGGGACGGACAAAGGAACTGATGCGTTTTTTTCATTCCCTTTCTAATCTAGAATCAGCTTTTATCCAGTTCTGCTATTGTATTTGCTTGTCCTACCGTATATTGCTTTTCTTCATTCCTAAGCTTGTTTTGTCTTAATTTTCATTCGGTTTATCTTATTTGTTATTGTGGGCAGCTAGAGGAGGACGTGTATGACCAAAATGAAGACAGGTTAGAGGCATTGGTCGGAAAGTATCTCTTGGATGTACGTTTTATGTAATTTACTTTTTCTACATTTGACTATATATTATATATATTAGCGGTAGAGCTGCTTCTCATATTATGTCCTGCCAACTTAGCAGTTGCAGGGTGGCAATGTGGATGATCCGAAAACACACCCCGTAGTATCTGAGGAGTCGGAAGAAAAATACGTGGTCAGTGTTTTTTTTATTTTTTTTCCTAAATAGGCCTGTACTATGATCGCCTTGTGCATACGTTTGTACTAATCCGTATCTTCATACAGCCTCGGCCAAAGAAGGTCGTAATAAGGAAGAAGGTGACGAAGGAGGCAAAACCAGACAAGGAGTTGAAGTATTATCCTCTTCCTATATCAATGATATTAAGGTGTGGATTTACAGTAGATGAAAAGGTATGTTCGTTACTCTTCGTTTTTTTTTTCTTCCTCGTTTCATCTTTGAGCTATATGTAGCACAGGCCTGAATTTTGCACTTTGGCAGGGTTTTGTAGTTTCAAAGGCAACAAACTACTCCAAGTAGGGGAAGTGGGAGTGGCTCTTGATTAAAATAATAAAATAATGCAATATTGAGAAGAAATCCTTGAGAATTATTATTATTATTATTATTAAATTTTTTTTTTTGGCTTTGTTATTATAATGCAATGTTGAGAACAAAACCTCTACTGTATTGATTTACATATGCTTTTAAGTGACCTAAAAGTCCAGTACATACTATATATCAGGTGGTGTAGACTGATTAACATTTACCATATACTTACTTACGGCCACTAATAATTAATACACATAGTTAAATATAGTCTACACCATTAAAGTATACATTTCGTTAGGTAATACTTACCTTATGAAGTATCATTTGTAACACCTGTCTCCTCAAATATAATGTAATTTGTATTTTAAATTCTACTCCCTCCGTTTCATAATATCTGTCGTTTTGGAGAATTTTTTTTGTTTCATATTATTTGTCGCTTTAAATTTCCAACACTTCATTAATTACTTAATTTTCATTATATACCCCTATTAATTATTTCCAATACTCTTTTTTCAACTAATTTATCTCTCTTATTAATTATAAGTCAAGGTCATTTTAGTCAAAATGCATATATTTTTCTAAAATCAAGACACATTTACTAAAATTCTTAATCTTTGTGCAAAGCTAAAAAACGACAATTAAAATGAAACGGAGGGAGTAATATCTTAAAATTTTCTATTTTATTGAAAGAATAAGTAAAAGAACAATTAAATTATACAACTAAAAATATATGTTAAAAAAAAGGGTAAATTACAACAACCTCCTAATGTATGGTCAAATTATGAAAAAAAATTCATTTTGTTTGGATAATTACATCTACCCTCTCAACTATGATTTTTTCGTAAACCTCCACCCTTATGGTGTCAAATTCAACATAATTATTTAGATTTCGTGGAATGTGTTCTAGTTTGTACTCGTTTTGCGTAAAAATACATTTCCTGATGCACCACAATCTGATATATACAAGCAAAAAAGACATGTTATGATCATGTTGTTTCAAATTGTGGAGTTCGAATGGGATAAAACAGGTACAAAAATAATAATATTCCATATAATTTAGAAGATTCCACTAGATTTGAAACTGCAATGGTGAACGTGTAAAAAGATTTATAGTTGAGGGGTGGTTGTAACTACCCAAACCGCGCAACTCAATGGAATGGATTACGCCGAGTGCTCGGATTCACCGCATCCTCTCCGAGCTCCACCGTCTAATGAGAAGCTTAAGAAGAACTGCAGTCGAGAGCATGCCCTTCCCGAAGGGATCAAATACGATTACTACAACGAATCTTGCCCGCTAGCAGAGCGAATCATCCGATCTACCGTTCGAGAGCTGTGCAATTTTCAGTCCAATGCTGCCCCTTCTCTATTGGGGCTTGACTTCGACCACTGCTCTGTCAAGGTGATACGATTACTTCTTGTTCTTCCATTTTTCCGTTATCTATTTTGTGGTTTTTTCTAAGTGATTAATGATACGTTTTGGGAGCTTTTTTACGTTTGATACTTTTTGGGGGCAGAACTTGTTAGAGTTCTCTACTATTTAGATTCTACAATTGGTTTATTCAACATTTTGTGATGGGACTTTCCCTTTTATTCTACTTTTTGGGAATGAATAAACTCGATTTGTAGTTTAACTCCATTGTGTAGTTTTTACACGATTTGTTTGAGGTTTTCAATATTTCACTTGATTTTCTTATGGAATTAAGAAGTTGATTATTTTTTTTAAAGGAATTTCATGTAGGGGTACAGTAATCATTGTTATGTGATCTTGCCCATTCAACTGCTATTTTCAGAAAGAGCTCAGAAAGAGGCTCCTCTTAATGTATCTGGACAACCACCAATTTACCGCAGTGCCACTGCCGGCAGCAGTGGCGGCGGCGGCGACACTGTCCACCAAGACACCACCATCAGTGACAGTGTAGGTGTTGGAGGCAGCGGTGTTGGAGGTAGCAGTGGAGGGGCCGGTGCTAGTAGTAGTAGTGCTGGAGGCGACGACGAAGAGGATGATGAAAAAGTGGGGCTAAACGAAGGGGCTGACCAATCGGAGGAAGACGAAGACGAAGACAATGACGATGACGATGAAGATAGAGAGAGAGAAATTACAAATATATGAGCATCTGGATTTGCTTGAGGAACAACTAACAGAAGACGTAATCAGCGATGACAAATACTAGGCCGGTCTTAGGCAATATAATAATTGACGAGGCGAAAGAAAGACTCAAAAAACTTGAGAAAGAACTGAAGAAATGATGGATAACCGTGGATCAATACAATTTTGAGAAGGAGGATAGGGAATACTACATCTATAATAACGAACCATATTACGGGCACGATAAATGGTATTCTAACAGGAGAGCATACGACCAGAGTGAACGTTCCCGGACATATAATTACTTTGCCGAAGTGGGATCAACAAGCGAGCCTGTGCCTAAAAGGAGGAGAAGAAGGATCAACAACTCCGCTGCTGCAAACAACGACCCCCAGCTGCAAACAATGACTCCCCTCCCCAGCTACAAACAACGACTCCCCTCTCCCAGCTGCAAACAACAATATACATTGAAAGATTGCTTGATTGCACCTGTGAAACAAGCAATTTCTTGCTCTGTTATTCTTTTAGATAAACCATTCTAGTTGATGATTATTAGTAGAGACATTGATTCTAATTGATGCTTATATTGTTGTTTAACACATCTGACAAGTATTACAACAGGTCTATATGTCTATATTCACAATGTTGCTTTTTTTCTTAGGCCTTTCAATAAGAGTTTTCTCTATTCAGCTCAGCCCACACGTATGTAAAATAGCTGAAAAATTCGTTAGGATTTCAGGTGCAAATCCCATTAGGGTTTCTCAAAGTCGAAAAAAAAAAAACAATGGAAAATATATTTGCTTGAATGGTTACAAATGAAGTCCCTACTCCTATTTATACTATGCCACCTTCTCAATGGATGGTGTAGATCTATTTGATCTAAGGACTAGGAGTTTCACTAGAACATTCCAAAGAATTCCTACTAGAACAGTTCGAAGAATTCTTACAAAATATATACAAAATGAGGGTTCTAGAAACTCTGTTCAAGCTTGCCTTCGAACTGCTTTGTCAAGGTGCCGGCGGAGAGTGAAAAACGTCGTATCCGCTTTCAATTGGAATGTAGTGAAGATGCTAATTGTGAGGAGGAGGAGGAGGAGGAGTCGAGTTCTTCTAAGCGTCGCAAGTTGGAATAATTATTATAGATATTTTTTTTATTTAATGACTTCAAACAAATTCTGCGAATTTTGCTTTTTTTTTTTCTTTTTTATATTCCTTTATTTTTCATCTGGGTTTTGCTTTCGTCTCCATTTCCATTTTCATTTTCATTTTCATTTTCATTTTCATTTTCATTTTCATTTTTAGTATTACGGTTCTACATATAGTGCCTATATTCACATCTCCCATTGTTTATAGGGCAAATGACAAATAGGCCTATGACAATGACATTTAATTAAAAGAGGGACATTCAACTTTTTTGTCTTTCAAATAAATCCAGTTCATTCAAACTTATTTGCAAATAAGGAAAATCCTCTTATATATACCATAATTACCCCCAATTCAACTCCAATTTCACGATTTACATCACAATTTAGCTCAATTTCATCAATTAACCAATTTTAACCCTAATTTCAATTTTGACCCAATTTTGACCCGCCACCACCGGAGACCGTCGGTCGCCGCCGTTGACTGCCGGAGACCGGCGTTGACTTTTTTTTTAATAATTTTGTTTTTTCTTAAAAAAAATATTTTAATTAATATTACTATATTGGCTGCTAAATTACTGTCTCCAGCAGTTATTTAGCTGTCGGAGACAATAATTTAACAGTTAATTGACTTTTTTTTTTCTATTCAAAAATATTTTAATTAATATTACTGTCTTTGCTGCTAAATTATTGTCTCCAACAGTTATTTAACTGTCGGAGACAGTAATTTAACTGTTAATTGACTTTTCTTTTTAAATATTTTAATTAATATTATTGTATTCGTTGCTAAATTACTGTCTCCAACAGTTATTTAACTGTCGGAGACAGTAATTTAACAGTTAATTGACATTTTTTTTATTCAAAAATATTTTAATTAATATTACTGTCTTTGCTGCTAAATTACTGTCTCCAACATTTATTTAACTGTCGAAGACAATAATTTAACTGTTAATTGACTTTTTTTTTTTTAAATATTTTAATTAATATTATTGTATTCGTTGCTAAATTACTGTCTCCAACAGTTATTTAACTGTCGGAGACAATAATTTAACTGTTAATTGACTTTTTTATTCTTAATTTTTTTTAATTAATATTACTGTATTCGTTGCTAAATTACTGTCTCCAGCAGTTATTTAACTGTCGGAGACAGTAACTTAACTGTTAATTGATTTTTTTATTTATTTGATTTTTTTTCTTAAAAAAAATTATTTTAATTAATATTATTGCCTTGGCTGCTAAATTACTGTCTCCAACAGTAATTTAACTGTCTTAGACAATAATATTAATAATATTACTGTTCGGGAAAATAGTATCCATAATATTACTCTTCCAAACAGTAATATTACTTTCTCAGACAGTAATATTAACTAAAATATTTTTTTCTAAGAAAAAAAAATTCGAAAAAAAAAGTCAATGCCGAAGACCGGCGGTCAACGGTGGTTGACCGGCCGGAAAAAAAATTCAGGGAAATTTTTTTTTCAAAAAATAAAAAAAAAAGTCAACGCCGGAATATGAAGAAAGTTAATGTGATATATTTGTTTAAATTCGGGGTCAATGTGTAATATTAAGAAATTTAGAGCATAATGGATTGAATTGATAAGAATTATATTATGGAGGGTATTTTAGACTAAAGACATGGGGATGGGTTTAATTGAGAGACTGTTTTTTTTGTGGATCAATGTGCATTTAAGTCTCATATGATGGACATTTTTGCCATTCGCCCTTGTTTAGAATTGCACGTGCAATATTTATAATTGTTGTATTTCAATAGCACGTGAGTCGTACCGGTCTGGTTACTAGTTATTGACTAAATAACAGGATGCTCTAACCTATTAATTGAGACTTACTTTTTACGATTTAAAAGTTGCTATTTATCGTTCAAAACTTCCAAACCCCTCTCTTTCTAGAAAAAAAATTGCTGCATTAAACGCCCAAGGCAGGCGTCCACGGCGTGTACGAACGTCTGGAACGGGCGTTCATACACGCCGTGGGCGCCCCGTCTTGGGCGTTCGTGGGTGTATGTGCGAAACAAAAGTCCTACAAATCGATTTGTAGGCTTTTAATTTTAACATGAAATTAGTTCTGTAATCGACCTACCCAATGCATATTACACGTAAAGGAGTCGAAATTACACCAAAAAAATCGAAGTCCAACCCTTCTTCAGACTTGATTTCGAATTTTCAAATTTTTTTTTTTTGCTATTTGCAGTTTGGGGAGTTTTTGAGTTTTTTGAGGTTTTAGAGAGATAAATGATTTTTTGTTATGAACGGTAAATATCAATTTTCAAACCGTAAAAAACATTTCACTTTTGCATAATACTTTTAAATGACCTAACATTAATTTACTAATTAGTCACGTGCATGTGAAATCCCATGCCGTTTATCAGGTTAATTAGTGAGCTTCACTTTTGCATTAATTGGTCACTTTGTTGATATATGTAATGCACTTTTTTTAAAATTATATGGGTTTTTGATATTCAAATAACACGGGGAGTTTTTTAGTAATTAGAAAAAGTAAAGGGGTGAAAATGCAATAAACAAAACTAAACACAAACAAGTGTCATCATGTGAAATCGTTTTACATCGAAACTACGTGTTTTTTCCGTTGTTGTTTTGATTGGATTGAGGGTCTTTCAAGCGACTAAGCGAATGCAACTAGGATTATATTGCATTTATGTACAAATGTTATGGATGGTAACAATTTCAAAATCGGCTATACATAGATATATGCCCTGCCCTCGAATTATTGTATATTTCCGACTTACAGAATGCGATTTCACATCCATCACTTTTACTAGGAAAAAAATGTCGAGAATGTGGAGATCGGATATCAACATTTCCTTATACTTTACGTGATGCTACTTCATTATTATTGCGGATATTAATATTAAATGATACATTTTCTTTTCACTAATAGTTTAAGCTTTGGTTAAGGTGTTCATTTAACAATTATTATGCTTACTCGAGTTAACTAGTTTTGGCCCAACCCCTTGCCAATTTCCCTTGGGTTGGGGAGGTTAAAAAGTCCAAGATTTAGCCCAAATAAGGTTAGGCCCAAGTTGGCCCAAATGTATAGAGGTATGTAGAGGTATGTAGAGATATTTTAGGAATTCTTTGAAGTGTTCTAGAGAACCACTCCCAACCGTTAGATCAAATAGATCTCCACCGTCCATTGAGGAGGTTGACTAGTATAAATAGAGGTAGGGTCCTCATTCCATCCAAGAAATCCAACAAGCACTCAAGCAATAAAGTACTTTCCTACAAACTCTCTTATCTTCTTAACTTCTTTCTTCGTTTCCATCACTTAGCATGGTGCTGGTGCGAAGTAGAAGATGATGCTGAAGATGAAGTAGAAGATGATGCTGAAGATGAGGGGGAAGATAATGAAGTTGATGATGAGGAGAACCCCAACCACTACAACGATTTCGACTATGATCAGGAAGTAGAAGATGAAGGGGAAGACAATGATTATGGTGAAGTTGATGATGAGGAGAACCCCAACCACGACAACGAACCCCAACCACGACAACGATGACGATGTCATTTTTTGCGATCCTGATGACGAAGATGAGGATGAAGACGACGATGATGATAATTGGTTCTAATCAATATGGACTAGTAACGCTGAATTTGACATTTATGATAAAATTGATGACGAAGATGAGGATGAAGACGACGATGATGATAATTGGTTCTAATCAATATGGACTAGTAACGCTGAATTTGACATTTATGATAAAATCCATACTTGATCAATTCTATCACTTTCTTTAATCCTCACTTACTCACTCAGTTGTGATTAATATGCACTAGTAACTTTGTCAACTTGTGATATTTGTGATCACCATGCATTTTCGTATGTCTGTGTAGGCCTTTTAAAATCCATACTTGATGAGTACAGAGCAGTGGAGATCTATGGAAAAAACTCCCCGCAGTTGTACCGGAACTCTACTTTTTTACAAAACTCAAGTTGATTACAAGATTTACCCATTAATCTTTTACAAGATTTACCCATTAATCTTTTCTAAGGTTTTAATTTAGTTTAACCCTTCAATATTTATATTTTTTCATATAAAACATAACATAAGTTATATTATCAATTACAAAATATATTGTAAAATAATATTATATATTCTAAAAAGAACATAGAAATATTTTTAATAACTTATTTTTATATTTTTATAATCCAGAAAAATGTACCAAACAATGTTTAAGAGCTTATAAGTTATTAAAACATCGTAAAAGATGATTTGAAGAATAATCTTGAAGCTCTGTGAATTTTTATCCGGTTATTTTGCGTTAAACAAATTGCAGCTTTAGTTTTTTAATACTGTGGGTTGTTCAAAGATGTTTGTTTTTACAAGAAAATGATTTTTTTTCACGATTATACTTATATTGATTTACAAGCTGATTACAAGATTTGTACCTAAAGCACACAGATTAGACATGCATCATAAGGGAAGGAAAACCAATTTTGACAATATTTTTCTATTTTTTTTCAAAATTTTGCAAGAAAATCCAAAAGAGTGTTCCACAAAACGCTACGAACAACAAATTGAAAGATAAATTTTCTTATAAGAAAAATTCAACATAACATTTATGATACCCATTAATTAATTATTAGGGTTCTTCTGTGAATAATAATACTTTGGTGATGATTAGGGGTAGAAATCGGAAATGAATGAAATTTCCGATTTCCGCCGATTCCTATCCGAATATTTTCGATTTTGAAGCAATTTTTTTATAGTCCAATTTCCGAAATTTTCGAAAAAAAATCGAATTGGAATCGGAATTTGATATGGAATATTCGGAATTTCCGATCCGCAATGAATTCGGCATAATTCCCGAAAATTATATTATATATTTACATATTATGTATACGGATTTCATATTAAAACCAAAGTTGGTGTAGTGGGCTTCAAATAATTGCTTTAAAAACTTTTAATGGCCCATAAAATATTGGCCCATTTTACAAACGTATTTATTTGGTTATTCTCTTGATTTCAAACGTATCCTCCGTCGTCCTTCCTCGTTTTGATTTGGTTCCCACCGGCGAAATTGCTTCATGGAGCCATAACTCTCTCTCCAGTGGTCGAAATTCGATAGTTTAACTACCGTTGGATTCCTCTCGTCAAACTTTTCGTTTTGATGTTGAGTATTTGTCGTCCGTGGAAAATAGGTCATGACCTCTCGTATGTGCTAGGAGGAGAGCCTCAAAAGGAACTCACTCAGTTTTTGTGGAAATTTCTAACCATGAAGAGTTCGGACACTGATCAATTTAGCTCTTGGAAAGAAGATTTGGAGGAAGTATGGATTGAAAGCTTAGATGCGGATACAAAACAATGGGAACCGGTAGCATTATTGCCGGAGAGTGAAAAACGGCATATCCGCTTTCAATTGGAATGGAGTGAAGATGCTAATTGCGAGGAGGAGGAGGAGGAGGAGGAGGAGGAGTCGAGTTCTTCTAAGCGTCGCAAGTTGGAATAATTATTATAGATATTTTTTTTTATTTAATGACTTCAAACAAATTCTGAGAATTTTTTTTTTTTTTTTTTTTTTAATTTCCTTTATTTTTCGTCCGTGGGATTTGCTTTCGTCTCCATTTTCATTTTCATTTTCATTTTTAATATTACGGTTCTACATATAGATGTCTATATTCACATCTCCCATTGTTCATAATTGTACGTGCAATATTTCTAATTGTTGAAGATGCTCTAACCTATTAATTTCAAATAAACCACATTTTACATATGCTTTTAAATGACCTAATTACATTAATTTACTAATTAGTCACGTGCATGTGAAATCCCATGCCGTTTATCAGGTTAATTAGTGAACTTCACTTTTGCATTAATTGGTCACTTTGTTGATATATGTAATGCATATGTTTTTTAGCACAAAACCCCTAAATAGTGAGATTTTAGGGGGAGTTTGCCAAAAAAAAGGAAAATTACATAGGTTTTCGATATTCAAATAACACGGGGAGTTTTATAGTAATTAGAAAAATAAAGGGGTGAAAATGCAATAAACAAACTAAACACAAGCAAGTGTCATCATGTGAAATTGTTTTACATCGAAACTACGTGTTTTTTTTTTCCGTTGTTTTGATTGGATTGAGGGTCTTGCATACATGCGACTAAGCTAATGCAACTAGGGTTGGTTTAATACAAACATTGTCTCTAAGCCAAAGTGAGATTTTCGAGCAATTCATTCGACTGTTGTTCGTGTTGCGAATTCCCACGCCTTCAAAATCTTGAGCATTTACAACTGTTATGGATGGTAACAATTTCAAAATCGGCTATACATAGATAGATATATGCCCTGCCCTCGAATTATCGTATATTTCCAATTTACTGAATGCGATTTCACATCCATCACTTTTACTAGAAAAAAAAAGGTCGAGGGTGTGGAGATCGGATATCAACATTTCCTTATACTTTACGTGATGCTACTTCATTATTATTGCAGATATTAATATTAAATAATACATTTTCTTTCACTAATAACTTAAGTTTTAGTTAATATGGTCATTCAACAATATCAGTGTTTCCCTAACTCCAAGGGAACATTCTAGACATTATATATATTGTTGATTGATAATAATAAAGCCATGCATGCACCTGTTTGTGGTGGAGAATTTGAAATTAATAAAAACGACATCGTTTTGAGCCAACCGGGCCGTATGAAATAATTTACATGGGCTTCAGTAATTTTGATTAATTGGCCCGATTGAGATGGTAGCCCATGATCCAATTATTATTAATTTCAGCCCATTTATAATTAAATATTTCAGAAATATTCTAATATTTCTTTCTCAAATTATGAATACAGACTTGCTGTTTGCCCTCACCTCTCTCTCTCTCTCTCTCTCTCTCTCTCTCTCTCTCTCTCTCTCTCTCTCTCTAATGCTTTAAAAATTATTTATCTGGAAATAAATATCATAACTAGTTAGTGTTAACAATTATAGAAGCTAAATAAATAAAATTCATCCTCAAAAGAGTCAATTTCTCAACCATTATCTTTAATTAAGGTGGTGTTTGCAAATGCTTTTTGAAAGTGATTATGCGGTTTTTTTTGCTCATAATTTGTTTTTAGGTGTTTGCAAAATCACATTTTGCTTTTGCTTCTCTTAAAATAATCTGCTTTAAGCTATTTTTTTAAAAGCACCCATAACCCTGTTTTTTCAATTTTAGTTCATTTTCCGAAATATTTGCAAACACCCCCAACTTTTAGAAATAAACACTTAAAACTAACTTAAATCACAATCACTAACTTCTGCTTTTAAATAATCATTTGCAAACACCACCTAACTAATTCTCATTAAAAAAACTGAAATGCTAATTGTAGCGGGACTTTTACTGAAATTGGCTTATTTGCAGCGGTAGCCTCATTTGTCAATTTTCTTACTTTTTAAAAAAACCGAAACGCTATCAACTAAAAAAAATCGAAAACTTAGAATTTGAAGCTCGTTCGACAAATTTAAAAACGAACAACGATTTCTTCAATGGCTGACTCGAATAACTTTTATATGGTAAAAAGAAAGAAAAAAAAAATAAAAAAAAATAAAAAGTTGATACAATCGTGCTATACAGCACGAATAGTATGAAAAATGTGGAAAATATTGGAGTTACCCGTGCTGTACAGCACGGGAACTTGCATATCAATTTTCATTTTTTTTTTTTTTTTATTATTAATTTTTATATTCCTTTGTATTATTAATTTTTATAATTTGGTAGGGTGATGATGGTGATTTTGACGAAATATTTGATGATGAATGTACAAACGAGTACAATAATCCGAATATGTGTTATCATGTTCCTCAAATAATTAGAAAATTCGATATTTAGAAAAAAAATATAAAAAAAAAAATAAAACAATATTAAAAAAACTTGAATCTCCCGTGTTCTGCAGAACGGGAACCTCATGTTTTTTGAGTTCTCCGTTCTGTAGAACACGGGAACATGAGATTATTCAAGTTCCCGTGTTCTACAACACGGGAGATTCATATCTAAATATTTTTTATTTTTTTTCCGAAAATAAAAATTCAAAAAACAGTTTGAAGGTCCCGTTTTCTGGAGCACGAAAAATTGAATCTCCCGTTTTCTGAAGCACGGAA